TGGAAGCCGGTGGTGGCAGTTGGGCTCTGAGGGTTTTTTCCTGAGGAGCTGTTTTGTTTGGCGGTTGTAGTTCTAAAAATAAAGTTAGTTTCTTTTGACAAGTCGCTCCTGAATTGTGCCCAGACAGACTGTGGCAGTCTTCAAGGTTCATCCATGTCACAGAATGAATCTGAATTTCCTTCTTTTTCAAGAGTGATATTTTCCATTCTATGTATAGACTACATTTTTTATACCAATTCATCTTATGATCTATGAATATGGAATAACTTTCTATTATGTCTTCTGTGGTTTCTTTAAGCAATATTTTGTAGTTTTTACTGTACTTTTTTTTTTTTTTTTGGTGTGGAGCAAGAATTCATAGTTCTGTAAAATTCTCTTACAGCTGAAAGAAAGGGTAGAACACCTGAGTTAAGATACCCTTTCAATTGAAATGACAAGTGTAATAGATGTGTTCCAGAATCTTCTCTGTGACAGGGCTACGTGCTTTCCTTAGACCCTGTCTGTAGGAGGAAATTACTTTGTGAAACCTTTCCCCAGTCAATCATCCATCTGTTTTAGCAGCAAGAAGGCAACCTCATCGAAATAAAAGGAATTCAACTCCTTTCATTCCTATTAGTAATCTCAAAGTAAATTAACAGGTTGGCCATAATTATAGGTGAATTTTATTTATTTATTTATTTTTTTGCTGTTGTGCATCTGAAGGTTCTAATACAGTAATTGCATATTCACACAAATTCATACCCAAACCAAAAAAAGGAAAAAAAAAAAGAAAGAAAGAAATGCAGCTTTGTTATTTTGAACATGTCCTTTTTACCCCCAGTCCAATTTCTCCAGCATTTTAGTTGTTAGGGAATTGATGGCTGAGCTAGTACACTCAACAGTCCAAAACAGCTAAGGGCCAACGCTACAGGATCAGAGTGGTAACCTCTCAAGACTCAGAAACCTCCACCATCCAGAAGAGAGGACCAATTTTGACTTACTTCTTTCCAATGGAAAACCATCCAATTAGCTTGTGAGAAAAAGCCAGCAGCCAATTACAATGGTAGAAGCTCACGTGACCCCCTGTTTGTAAAAAGCCACAGATTGGAGGCCTAATCCTAAAGCTACCACTGTGTTTTCAGTGGTATTGAAAGAAAAATTAAAATCTATCCCTAGGACTACCGTGTAGGACTACTACTAAACTTTCCTGTTTTAGTGAAATTACAAAGGTTAACAAGCCACTCTTCCAAGAAACATTTGGTTCTGAAGTTGCCCTTCGTCCAATGTGGCATAGTGAGTGCGTTTTCAACGTGTACTCCCACTTTATAAATGACACGGTAATTTTTTCTCTTAAGTAATTGAGCAGAGCACACAAGTACAGAACTTGACAGAAGCCCCTAAGGAGACAGCTCCTCTCACTGCACCACTGCCAATAGAATAAAAAGGTTAAAGAAGTCATCAGATTTGTCAGATCAGTTTTTGGATGGGGTAAGGATTGTATAATGAGAAGCATCAGTCAAGTTTTTAATTGCAGGTTTCATAGAGAAAAGGGCAATGGTTCAAGTTTGTAGAGATTTAATTTTATTGTTCTATTGCTAATACTTTTCTTCTGAGACCTGCTAATTGCTTTATCTTTCTCACTAAGTTACTTACAAAAGTTCTGCTTGTATGAAATTGTGGTAAATGCATAAACTATGCCTTATTGATTCTTGTTGACATTTTACATGTTTTTAATGCATTTTTAACCTCCAATTGGAAACTGTCAGTTTGGCCCATGTGCCTGGATAATAAGAGCAAATGAAGTGAATGTCACTATCATCTTTTTGACTATTAAAAGTAGAATTGGTCCAGGCTTCGCATGGTTTCAAATGTGTCTCCATTAGATGATTTGCTTTCGCCTCCATTGTACTCTCAAGGCAAGAAGTTAAAAGAAAAAGAGAAATATCTTAGCATTATTTCCTCTGTATAATGTTGGTGATGATCATAGCATTTTTGGAGAGAGATTACTTTGAAACAGATGGTAAATTTGAGACTATAATTTTAGACCTTCAGCATCAATATGGACGCCAGGAGAGGTACTGTCATCTGTCTCACACTCTATTACCCACATCGTCTAGATGCCTTAGAGAAGGCCACCAAATTGCTTTTATTGATGACAAAGGCTGCAGTCAGCCTAGGTACAGGCAGCATGTTTAAATAGTAAGCTTCATCAGTACTCTCCTGTCAGAGAACTAGGAAACGGCTCACATCCATGGCGAGTAGATTTCATTCTGATTTCTTCAGGCCCTCTTAATCGGGAGGTGAATGCAAGATGAATTTCCCATGTACAGAGAGTTTTTGTGTATGATTTTACAGTATGATGCAAAAAAAAGGAAAAAAAATGCATTGACTTATTTTCATGACTGGATGTCATTGTGCGTTGGGGGTAGTGGGCAGGCACTGCTTTCTCTTAATACTGTTTGATTAAAAGGTGCTACGACAGTATTGACTTGATAATCTCACCAGGTACACATGCAGAGCAAAAGAAGAAAACATGTTTTATGGCTCACAAATTGATTTACATAAACCAAACAATCTGCTGGTTGTTTGAATGTAGAATGTTCTATTTTGCTTATTGGCCACAGGGGCAACAATCTCATATTGTTGATGCCAGATTTCTTGCTTTCATGCATTCACTCTGAAATGACAATAGACTTCAGCCTCTCAGTGTTTAGATCTGCTTCATTTGGAAATCTTTTAAGTAGTAATAATAATAATGTTTTGAGGAAATTGAGTGGAACACTAAATTATTCTCTGATACCTAAGTTCAAACTGTGCAAGGCTAAAGAAGCTGAAAATCAATGCACTTTTAAAGTCATTAGAGATCATAAGTGAAATAAGTCTGTATTGCTTTAGCTAAGCTTTTAGTGTGCTGTGGTATTATTATAAAATCAGCCTGAATCTGCATTAATTTCACAGTCTTTTTCTCTAAGAAGCCCAAGGGTGTATGATGAATAAAATGTAAATTTCAGAAGGCAGTGTTTTTATTAGTGCAAAGGGCAATGAGCCGTGTAGTTGGAGCGGTGACCTGCATAGTGGCCAATGCCGCTTACAAGAAGCTGGAACTGGCACCATAGATTCTAGTTATTTAAGAGCACAGTAAAAATTAACATGGGAAGCTTTGCAGGTCTCACAGTAGACATTCAGAGGAATGCGCATTGTCTTGTGTATGTTAGATTGTAGATCGAGTCTCTCTGATTTTAGAAAGTCACAACTTTGAAACACCATAAAGGTTTTCATACAAACAAATCGAATGCAAACTTTATAATTTGACTTTATACATACTATTGAATATTCTCAGAGTAATAGTGCATTGGTTTTTGTTAATAATAAGTCATCCATAATGGATTTGATATATTCGTTTGCATTTGAATAGCATCAACTTATATTCTGATGTATTGATTTTTTTAACTGCCCAGTAGAAATTAAATATATTTATTTGCTGATATTTTGAACTCTTGAAATTTACTAGTTTGCCCTTGGTGTGAGCATTTTCTTATTTACTTCTTAAAAATTAACAACAGAATCTGAAATACAAAGCCCTGATGTGTGGATGCCCTCGGTGTCAAGATTCTTAGCCAAGGAGAAAATGGAAAATAGCAACTTTTTATTTTGGCAAATGCAAAGTAGGTCTTGCAAATTTCAAACCCTGTGGCTGAAAAAAGAAAAAAAGAAAAAGGAAAAAAAAAGGAGTACCCAACTTCCTCCCCTAGTTGCCATTAAAAAAAAAAAAACTACTAAATAAATCTTTCTGCTTTGGTCAGATTAGCAAGTCAGCACTGAGAATAAAAAGCAAAATAAGATAAAACCAAAGAGAGAAGTTGTTTATTTTTATGTACTACTGAGAACAGTGTCGTCTTGTGGCAGTTCTCGTAGACTGTGTTGGTTTAACAAGCGTCCAACCCTTTTGTCTTGTTGTTTTTTGTCTTTCCTGCTCCCTGTCCCCTTGTTTCCCACAGGCTGTGCGTTTGTCACATTTTCTACAAGGGCAATGGCACAGAATGCAATCAAAGCCATGCATCAGTCTCAGACCATGGAGGTACTGTATCATCTGCCCTTTCTTTGTTTTCTTTGTGCAAATGATGGGGAATGGTAAAGCAATTCTCTCCTGTGTGGATTGTTCACATGACAATCACAGATTTAAACTTTCACCATCTTGCTTTTTATCCATTCATTTTCATCCTTCTCCTACTCTCCCTTCCTCCCTCTCTCTCCCTCTCCACCCCACTTCCCTCCCTCTCTGTCTCTGCTCTCTCTCTTCCTCTTCTCTCTGCATTTTCCCCCTAATGACTTGAAATGCATTTAGTAAAAAACCTTCCACTTTCTCTACTGTTATCTTTTGAGCCTTGTATGGAGCAGCCCAGGTCCTGCAATATAGTCACTGGGCACTTTAAGCAAAGTGTCCTTCTGGACCTAAAAGATCAAATGCATCCCTTCCCCAGGATTGGCGTGGGTGAAACAGCTACAGCCCCTACCCACAGTGCTGCTTGCCCTGTACTAAGTCAAAAGGTTCTCTTTTCAATGCAGGACCAACCTGCCTGTAATTTAGTCAGATAAAATTGTGGTTTTGCATGTTAAGAATGGTGGAGAAAGTTAACCCTTCTCCCACTTCACAGCGTGATGCTAATTTATGAGAGTCCCCAGAAAAAAAATTAGATTGGTCTCCGTACTTAAAGATGAGCAATAGCAAAGAAACCCTTTATGAAGGCTCAAATTTGATCTCTTAATGAGATGAGAGTGACTTTAGGGAAAGATAAACACTCAGATGTGGATGCATACCTACAAATGTAGATAGATGGTTCTATATTTTAGTCTGTGATTTGGGTCATGGCCTTTCTAAATTTTGCACAAAAGCATTCCAAGAGTGATATGCTGTTACTTATTCTGTACTGTCTGATAGAATCATTTGGGAGTGCATGTTCTGCTGTGTTCTGTACACTGTATATCTTTGTGTGTGGGTGATCTCTAGAGGTGGTGGCCTTGTGGTATTATCTGAAGCTATGTTTTTTTCATTTTTTGAAAACAAAAAGATATTTTCAATTTTATTTAATGTGCAAAAAAATATTAAATTGTTTGAGCTTCTTTTGTGCTCCCATTTTGTTGGGGCTTTATTTTTTTTGTTTGTTTGTTTTTGTTTGTTTTTTTTGCAATGCTGCACCTCCCAAAGCATGCTGGGAGCTAAGTGATCATTATGCGTCTTGTTTTGTGGGCAACTTTTTTGTAGTGAATCAAAAAGCGGGTGGCAAGGGGGAAGGAGTGTGCATGGCATTGTCATTAAGTGTTTACTGTACTTTTCTGAGTTGTGATATCAGCATTGCAAAGCCTACTGTCTTTTGAACATTCATTTTGACTTTGATATTCCTAACATCCTATATAATCGATGTGTTTTCCTTTCAGTGCAATGCATTTTTAAGACACTCCCTCCCCCCTACCTGAAGGCAAGCTCAGGTGAAAATCGGCCACGATAGGAAATGATTAGCAGGATTTGAAATCTCTAGGAATCCAATCTTGTACAACATTGCAGTCACATATGTGATAATGTTTTGGTTTCCCTTTTTCTCGTAGGCCGCTCCATTATTTGGGATTTCCAGCTATTTTTCAACTTGGAGATTAAAGTGAAAGTGCTGTTAGGGGAAAAAAAATTACCTGAATTGATCTTTCATAGATGTGTTTCATTCTTAATTATTTTTGTTTCCTGTAATTTAGGGATTTACACCCAATTTGGTCTCTCCTTAGTGAATTTTTTAACCTAAGTCCTTTCAGCTCTGTTAGAAACATTGCCATCCCCTCCCTTCACTCAGAGTCCCCAAGTGATGATACAGAGACTAAGGATGGGGCCTGGGTCTCCAGTGCTCCTCTAGGAGATCATAAGCCAGTACTAGACATGAACCAAAATGGAGGAACACAAGGCTTTCATCCTGGAAAGACCCATTAGAGGGAATGGGGCCTATTTATTCCTAAGAAATCCTTGATCCTTTATCATTAATATATCTGTTGTTTTTAAAATTGGACATCAATGCTTAAACAAAAGGACCCCCAGACACTTTAGTTTTTAAAAATTGACATTTAAGTAGAAGATTATGTGCTATGCAATTACATTATAAATACACAACTGAAGTTGATAGTTTAACTTTTTAACTAATTACATTATTTTCAGGACTCTGGCATACATCTTTAACCAAGATGTATTATTTAATTTAAAATGATGTGAATATTATAAGAATAAAGTCTTTCAAACACTTTTACATTGTACCTTCTATCTCTCCACCTCCCTGCACTCTACTCCCATTTTCTGTTTCATGATTTAAATGAGCCATTTTAAAAGCCATAATCATTGGTCTAATCTTCCGCCTTTATTTCGCTTTTTTAGTATTTTAAGCAAGAAAAAAAATAAATGTACTATTAGGAGGAGATGCCGTTATTTGTTAGGGACACATTTGATACAACAGTATCACCTCTTTTTCCATGCAAAACTTTCTCTCTCTAATTTCCATTTTCAGAGTATTTTGCCCTCTGTAAAGTGACAAAGTGCCGGGGAAGGTGGCTCAGTGGTTGAGGCCAAGTGCAAGACCCTGGGTTCCATCCCTAACACCACAAATAAATAAAATAAAATGACCAAGTGCTGAAATATGGAGCCAATTTTTAAAATGAAGTACAGATTTTTTATTAATGGTGGAAATGTTATTTTTAAGCAATTTACTGACACTTTCTGTACCGTGACTCTGCCTACCAGAGCTGAAGACTTCTTAAGCTGGAAGTTCACTAAAACACCCATCTCACATTTCTCACTCCACTCCACTCCAATAACAGACACCATGGTCTCATGTATTGACAGCTACATCCCAAGGTGATGGGGGAGGGAGGGGTATAAGCTTGTTTTCTACAAGAAACAAAAATGACCTAAAAGGAAAGAAAAGGAAAAGATTATTTAAATAGAATATCACATTTCTAAGAGGAGAGAAAGGGGTCTCTCAGCATGCTGAGTTTCAATAAAAGTTTCTGTTTAATCCCTTGAGTAGAATTACTTCTTTTTACCTCAGCAAAATTTAACAGCTCTCACAGTGACGTAGTGTGCAGACAGGCCACACCAAGACACAGAAAGAGCCAGGGAGGTAGGAGGCCCATTTTTGCTGCGTTCTTACCAAGTGGCAGCAGTTTTAAAGGTGCTTAGGAAAGAAGCATGGTGCTTGAGGTACTAGGCCAGTTATTTCCCCCAAAGAATGTGTCTGCCTCCAAAACAAAATCATCCTAGAATAGGGTCTTTGGCCATTTCTCACTACCCCTGCTCTCTGCCTTTTCAAGGACATTAAAACTGAAAAAGCTGCTAGAAATGTGAGGTTCGTCAGGGAAAGAAGCCACCCAGAATCCTCCTCCTGCCATTCACAGCATCTCTCCTTTGACTAGAATGTGCTTCTGGTTCTGCTGGTGTGCAGTAGCTCTAGAGACTTTAGATAGAGAGATGTGACAGGGGAGGAAGAAGAGGGGCCTTTCTGAAAACATGTGAACAGTTATTTTGGTCAGTGCCTATATTTTCTGAATATCTCCTTCCTTCTTCATCCACGTTCCTAAAATGAAACCCACTTCTCTGTTATCGTTGTTCAAACACACGAAACTAAAAATTGGAGGGAGTTTTCAGAAAAGATGAATGAGAGACATTCTTAATTCCCATGACGGTGCTGCCCCCTTGTCCTTTGCTCAGGTAGAAACAGGCAGACACACAGAGGCAAGGCCATCTTTGAGACAGCCAACCACGAAGCTTAGACATAGATCAGGTCTTTTGTCTCAAAGGAAGTCCTGGAAGGCTGAAGGAAGACGCAGGAGGAGAGGAGGAGAGGAGATATGAGGATCAGAGCAGGAAAGCAACCAGCAGATCCCCCATCAAAACCCAGGACAGGATCTGGAGTGTTCTATTGATAGTACTATTCAGAGAAGAAGAAGGAATATCAAACCATCTTTAAACCATCCCAGACCATTCCATGTGCTCTGAGAGAGATAGATCCGGTGCTGACTGAGGGCCCTGAGAGGATGCGACCCAGCTGTAACTTCCTCTTCACTTTCCAATGTGTCTGACCACAGGGCTGCTCTTCACCGATCGTGGTGAAGTTTGCTGATACCCAGAAGGACAAAGAGCAAAGGCGCCTCCAACAGCAGCTGGCACAGCAGATGCAGCAGCTCAACACTGCCACCTGGGGGAACCTGACAGGGCTGGGCGGACTTACCCCACAGTACCTGGCGGTAAGTGCTCCCCACCCAGGAGAGAAACACACCCTGCCATCCGCGAAACCCCGAAACCCCATTGGCCACTGAGTACACTCAAGAATTCATTTTCCATACATTTTGAGTCTGGAGAATTACTGAAACCACCAAGTATGCAGAATATTCTCCCAAGCTAAATTGGCTAGCATAAGAATGTGACCAACTTAGTCCTTGCCTAACAGGCTGGGCAAAGTCCCCTGGGCTAGACTCCTACCCAGTATGTCAAGGCATCCTACAACTCTGTGTTCTGAAAAAAGACACAGCATGCTTAATGGCCCATGAGCTAAGAATGTTGACTAGCTGGAAGGTTGATACCTGTCAGGACCTCTTCTGAGATCTCCTGGGGCTTTTGAGTCTGCATTTCAAGCCTTCCCAGTGAGCCCACCTTGAACACATCAACTGTTTCCTACTTTCTCCTTGTAAAACCAGAGAAATAAGGTTCACTGCAAACCAAACAGACCCATTTCTCTTGGCCATTCCTTAGCATCCCTGCTTTCTAAACTTTTACTTTCTAAGAGTTTCCTCTGTTACCATTTCACTTAGTCATTGTCTCTACTGAAATACAGTGGCCAGAATTTAAGCCACTTCCCTAGTAAGAGCTAAATGGGACAGAGTAGTGACCCCTAGTGGATTTAAAACATCTTCCTGGAGCCTGAGAGTGGCATTTGCAGTAACTGTGTCCAATGTGAGCTGGGAGGCATTGGATACTGCTAAATTATATTTTTACTCCAGCTGCTACAGAGTGCTTCTCTCTCCATTTTTCTACTTTGGAGCCTAAATGTTAGACTTCACATTTATTAATTTAATTTCATATAGTGAGTCTGGGCCTTTTATTCCAGCCTCAAGAGAAAGAGAACAAACATGCAAGCACATACACACGACGTGTCCTAATTCTGTCATCTTACATTTTAACTATCCCTCTCAGGATTGGATCATCCATTAGCTTTACTTTCTAGCAGAAACTGCACTGTTTTCTAAGACAGTTACCTTGAAAAGGGAGAGTGTCCTATTGTAGAGATAAGGAAAGGGAGGCTCAGAGACTAAGTAGCTTTACCTTCTTACCCATCCACCCCCGGTGCCCAGAGGGGTCTGCAGTAGAACAGCTGTTGGTTAATGGATGAGACACATGCTCTTCCTGTCTTCATCTGCTTTGTTAGCAAAAGCATTGACCAAGTTTATTGTCACCTTCTGGCCATTTCTCCATCTTATCATTGAAGATACCATGAAAGATTTTGTCAGACATCTTGCTAAAATCTACATATGCTCTACTTAACAATTTGTGTTTTCACAAACTCATGCTGTTGGAATGTTCACAGTCCATCAGTTTGATTGTGTGGACCAGAACTCTTATCCAAGATTGATCCATGCCTACCTTTTCACTGTTGGTGAAAGTCAAGCTTCCTGCTCTACCATTTCTGAGAACCAAAAGGAGAGGCAGGTGCCTGCCCTCAGGATTCCTGTGTCACCTGCACTCCACAGTTCACAGAAATCTCTGGTGCATGTCTCTGTGACCACATCTGCCAATTATTTGCATACCTGAAGAAGAATTAATTTTAACATCAATTATAAAAATGTGTTGCTATAAACTCTCTTTTCTCTCCTGATAGGCCCAGATTTTTTCTTATCCATGTTCGCTTTACCCCTTCCCTTTGAAAGTCCTGTCCTCTGAAAGGGCTTATGGAATTTAAGGCATCCCCTGCCTCCATGGGGAGCCCAAATGCTGGCCCTGGCTCACCAAAGATTACTTATCCATGGAAATAATCCTTGGTGATAGTTTCATGACAGTCCAGGTATTTTCCCTTACCTCAACAGATGTTATTAATTTCTCAAAATGTCTTCAAAGCTAATTTAATTTTACAACTTTACATTTTTTTTAAATATTTATTTTTAGGTTTTAGGTGGACACATACCTTTATATTTATGTGGTGCTGAAGATCGAACCCAGTGCCTCATGCATGCTAGGCAAGTGCTCTGCCACTGAACCACAACCCAGGCTCTACAACTTTAATTTTTAAAAACATCTAATGTTTAAAAACAACACGCTTGGTGTTTTTACATCACTTGATACATGCTCATTTTTGAGTCTCATCCAACCATGGAATTTTTCTTATCAAACAGAAGAAACCTTTACTTACCCATAGAACATCAGTGTTCTATGTTGTTTCACACAGCTCCAAATAAGTTCTGAAAGCTTTTTCTAATGCATCTTGGAATTCGTCCTGTTCCTCCTAAGCATATAGTGCCATAACAATATTCCAGTAGTAATTTGGTAAATCTTTATCTGTTGGTATCCAGGTACTTTGGAACATGAGAGGTAACTGTGTTCCATCCTCATAGTGTAATACCTAAACTAACCTACAGCTCAACTAAGTTGGATGGGAACTGGAACCCCCCTCATGCCTTAACCTGTAACACCCACTGATTCTATGTGGCAGGAAAAAGGTGTTTTCAGGGGAAAACGCAGACTTTTTAACAAGCATATTCATTTCTTTTTAAAAAGATTCTGATATATAATGCATAGCTTCAATATACAGACAGGTAGCTAATTCCAAATTTTGACAAATAATATGTTCTCTCTGCCAGTGCAGACCATCTTAAAGTAGCTGACCATTTTCTCGGCCATATGGATGTGGCTGTATGTGTAAGGGTGTGACAGATACACTTATGTCTATAGTGATCATGATGATCTTCATGTTGGCCTAAGAGTCAGTAACCCAAGTGCTTCTGATGAGGGATAAAGAAAGCTGAACTGTGAAGAAAAGTAGAAGAGGAGGGGATGGACCTTGATTGACAGAGATGAGTTATGGTAACTACTAGACTACAGAGAGATATAATTAGTCATGCTATGTTGGTTTCAATAGATTTAACACCTGGTTGTTAAAAAGAGTAAATTGATTAATTGTTTTAAGGCAGCAGTGTTAGTGAGTTTCCCCAAGTGTCTGTGTTTCTTAATAGAGATTAGACATTAATATGGATTTACAGCCCCAGCTCTGGGGACCTTCAGTCTATCAATTGCAGCAGTCGCAACCGGCCACGTAAATGTAAAGGAAGAGAGTTTGCCGGCACTTTAATGAGGAAGTTACTTTGTCCTCATCTCTGCAATGTTCTGACTTGACACTTGTGTGCTCATTTGCAGCTTCTGCAGCAGGCCACCTCTTCCAGCAACCTGGGTGCATTCAGTGGCATTCAGCAAATGGCTGGTAAGTCCTGAAGCCTGTCTTTCCTTTTGACCATGCAGTTGTCGGGGTTCATTCAGAGGGCCAGAGAAAAGAAGCAGGGAAAAAGAACAAAGAGTAATTACCAAACTTATTAGCTTTCTGTCTTAGGCGTTAAAATTGGAATCAGTTGCTCCCGAGTGGTTCTTCTACTTTTGCATTTCCTACCTACCCTTCCATGTGGGTAACAGTTATAAGGTGAGGGGGCTAAGAATTCCTCTCTAGGATGCTCTGTAGTCATTGTTTGTTGTTGTTGTTATTTTAATGGGATTGATTACTGGAGGATTTCCAGCAAATTTCTATATCCAGTACAGCCAAAATGATTGACATACCTCTAACATTTTAATAATAGGCAGTCAATAAAAATGTTCTGACCTCCATAATGAAAGCCAAGATTGCAGTCCTATATTTGATACAGTTTGTAGTCCCTTGATAATGACAGACAATTAACAGGGTGCCTTTTTTTTTTTACTTTAGTACCCCAGTTGACAGAATTGTGCATCAGAAGCTTTTATGTAAAAGTATAATCTTTGTTCTCAAGAAAATCAAAGTGCGACTGCATTTGAAAGGCAGCTCATTGAAGGATTCCTTTTCATAATGAGCTGTGCCAGTAGTTGCTGAGGCGCAGTGATTAGTGAAAGGTCACTCCTACTGTGCCACCGTCCATGCTGATACCCTACCTTTACACGGGGCCAGAGCAGGCAGCGTGTGCAAGAAATCAGAACACAGGTGCCCATTAACCTGCTGGGAGGAACAGTTAGGAAGCTTTTTCCTTGTTTGATTCCAAAAGGGTGGGGTAGGGGGGATAAATAAAAGAACAGATTTTTGGCATATTAGAGTGAAGCACAGTTTGCTTTTATCAAGGACACCCTGAATCAATGAAATGAAGCCTAAGCATGCTACATAAAAGCCAGATTTCTTTACCTGTCACCATGAAAACTCATTTTTCTCACATTTTTTTTGTTCAAATGCATATCCTTGTTTTTTTTTTTTTTTCTTGTTTTCACTTTGAATCTGAAAAGATTTTCCCTGTGCATTCTCCCCATGTGTCTTATGACCTTCAGCCCAGCCAGGATGGTGGTCCGTGGGCTAATGGTAACTTGTTGTCTGATGGTATGCTTTGGCTTACATCAAAAATACTGCTGAATGATTTCTTGGGTTTCAAATCATTTGGCATCACCTGTTTAGTTAGCTGTAATATAGCTTTTAGGTTATTGGGGGAAAAAAGGTGTCTGGAAAACATAGTTAAATTAGTGCAGTATATTTACAAATAGCTTGGGAAGCTCGTCTTGGAACTAAGAATCACATTGAATGATTAATTTATTTTTCAATTCTATGAAGAGAACTGGAGCAACATTTGTAAAATTTTCAGGAGCCTTTTTATTTAAAAGAAAAAAAAATGGCATACCCTAAAATAAATGCTTAGACCTGTGACATTTTTCAGCTGATTGGAGGTTTGTTTCTCTTTACACGGACCCACCCAGATCCAAAATTAGGGGCTTTCCTTAGAGGAAGCCTCAGGCTCTCTCATTTCTGCACCTGAATAATGCAGAGAAGGTCACTTAGTCCTGAGGCTACTGCCCGGCTTGTCTTCCCAGGTGGATGGAGGGCCCTGTCATTTGTCATTAGGATGTATGCACCTCAACCATGCCAACCACAGGTCAGGACATTAGCATCTACATGTTCCACATGCTCATCTGAAAACTAAGAGGGTCTGAGACTCACCTCAAAAGGTGCCATGTAGCAGATGGCTAATTTAAAAGCCTTCTGTAAATGCTCTGGGCTTTCCAAAATACCCATTTCTTAACCCTTCAACTTGTTAAATTCAGCATGCTAAGTCTTCCCAGGCTGTGAAATCAAATGCTGACCTGTCCATTTTCTATCAACCTCTTGAATATTTAAAGTTTTCAAAATTTAGGTGCCAAAAACTCTTGTCTTCTTGGGTGATTTCTATAAAAGTCACCCTCTATTTGTATGGGTAATCACATCTCATCTTCCTAAGGATGTGAAGCATTATGGTTTAGAGAACTTTCTTTTTTCCAGTTTAAAAAAAAAAATGGCCTCTCCCACTCCTGTCTTTTCCCAAAAGCTGGGCCTCACTTGTCTTTGCCATTAACCTATACCAGTATTACGAAGTGGTCATGGTGGGTTGGGAATAGAGGTTATTTCCTAGAAGAAGCTTTGCCCGACTCCCCCAGGTGTGGGAGGGGTGCTCTCTTTCCCAAGCCCCTCCCTTCCTTCCTCATATCTGCATACACTCCCTGTTCTTGATGCTCTTAGCCACTCCGTGAGCTTCAAGAGGGCCTGCCCTGGTGGCTGATGGACTCAGCCTCTAACTCCTCTGTGAGGTGCTCATGGCTAGTTGTGAAGGGATGAATGAATAAATCTGTAAGTGAACAGATGTAAATTTGTATTTTGTATGCATTCCCAATAGAGCTTAAGTTAAATGAATGAAAGAAATTTGGTTTTAGCCATATATATATAATATATATATATAATGAACTAAGAATTTTTGAATTAAGAATTTTGGTTAGCCATGTATATACATAAACAACAACAAAAAACATTATATAAACTAAATTCAGTATCTTCACAAATGAATTGTTGGGCATTTGGAGGTAGTGTGTATACTATAAAACATGTTCTAGAGCACATTCTATATAACACATACCAGCAGAAGCCATATGGTAACAGTATCCAGGGAGCCCAAGAGGTCATTTATCTACAATCCCACCTGATATTAAAGTGTGTATTGATGGACTGGGGGTGTGGCTCAGTGGTAGAGTGTCTGCCTGGCATGCACAGACCCTGGGTTTGATCCCCAGCACCACACAAAAAAAAAAAAATTGTTGAGTGACTGATATTGTGACATAGTGAGAATGAACACATACACAATTCATATGCAATTTTTATGTATTAAAGTGGCATATTAAAAAACTCCACATATAAAACTCAAGTACTCCCGCTTAGAATACTATCACCAAAGAGAATGAAATATTTTGGAAACCATAATATTTTGCTGTGAATAGCTCTCGACACATAATGGCCTGTCCTTCAGGAGATTGAGGTTTATAGTTAGAGTCTTAAAAATCCCTCATTTATATGAGTAAAGCATTTTCTGCTTGAGGAGAAAATAAAGTAAAGCCAAAAAAAGAAACAGAAAAAGAAATTTTAGACGACAAGTTACTAAGTAGTTGCATCAATAAAATCTAATGAGACATCAGCTATACTTTTTTCCCCAAAATAATCTTAACCATTTTCCTTTCAAACTAAAAATATCTTTAAATGTGTTTTATTATTTCTATAAAGGGAATCTTTTCTAAATATGGAATTTAAAAGCAGAAAATGGATTAGGATCAAATCTTTTATCAGCTGAATCCTTTTATATATACACACTGTCCTCTTTGAAGGTGATTGATTTTATTTTCCCTCTTAAAACTTCTAATAAAAACTTGGCCATTTCTCACTCATCAGTGGTATTTGTTCAGTTAAATTTCTAAAATATGGGAAACCTGGGGCCTGACTTTGGACGAAGGATTTGGATTTTCCTTGAAGGAATAAGGGAAAAGTAGCTTTTTGACTTTTAATTTCGTTCTAACAACTATCACATCTGTGAAAATCATTCTGATAGAAAAAAAAAAGTTTGCAGATAACCTAGATCCTTGTAATCATCATGCAGTTTATTCCCACAGTGTGCCAAGGACCAAATCAGTGCTTTGTTACCAAATTACAGCTGCAAACATGGAAGTACAAAAAGATTAAATAAGTTATGGGAGACGACAGCATCAGTAAGTGGCACGATATAGATTCAAATAACTCAAATCTCACAACTTTATGACGGAGGGGTTATCATACCCCATTTTATAGGTAGTCTCTTTAACCTCGATTGATAAACTTACTCCAAATCACTAAACTAGTAAGCATGGATCCTCATTTTCAGTCCAACCTAGCCTGATCCAATACCTAAGCTGTCTGTGGCCTCCAAACTTATAAAACACAGAGCCTTCCTCTCCTTACCCCATTATGAATCAGCCTACTATGGGAGGAATAGAGGAACTCTACATAAAGCAGAAGGGTTGGAGGGGAAGGGAGGAGGGCATGGGGTTAGAAATGATGGTGGAATGCAATGATCATTATTATGCAAAGTACATGTATAAAGATACGAATTGGTGTGAATATACTTTGTATACAACCAGAGATATGAAAAATTGTGCTCTATATGTATAATAAGAATTGTAATGCATTCCTCTATAAATATATATAGAAACACGGAGCCTCATATCTCAGCCAGTTCAGGTAATGTCAGCATAAATGCACGTGCTACAGTGATTGACTACAGGAACAATTTAACAGGCCAAATAATGAGTTGAATTCCAGCCTGAGCTAGAACCCCATAACTATTAAAAAGGAAGCAATTCAGAGAAAGTAACTGGAAACTGCCTCCCTTCATTCTGGAAAATATTTCCAGTTTATTAAGAGTAGGTCATTCTTCGTTGGGGGGGGGGATTTTTTATTTTTTTAGAATGAGGAATTCTTCTTTAAAAAAATTATAGATATTTGAAGTTATAGGTGAAGAGAAATTATCTGTTGATGAACAAGGGAAAATGCTTCCTTTAAATTCTGATTTTCAGTAAAGCTGATGGTAATTCTCTTTCAGATTTTCTGGTCTAGAATTTTTTAAAATTTTTATTTTTTTTAGTTTTAGGTGGACACAATCTCTTTATTTTACATTTATGTGGTGCTGAGGATCGAACCCAGTGCCTTGTGCATGCTAGGTGAACGCTCTACCACTGAGCCACAACCCAGCCCTAGAATTTTTAAGTTAACAAAATTGCAGAGTACAAATATTTGCTTAAAACAACAAAATAGCTCTCCTTTTATCAATTTGAATTCTCCCAGAGAAGACTGTCTTGGAGTGTCTGTCACAAGTGGAGAAGAGGGAAGGCGTTTGCACAATGTATGGGAGCCCTGAGAAGCTCCACTTG